TATTCAAATATTTTTCAAATAAGTTCTAATAGTCTTTTTTTTTCAAAATTAAGCTAAAAAATGGAGAAATTAATGGGATGCATTCATGGTTACGATTTTACTTATTGGAGAGAAATGAATCGCAGAAATTTGATTACCGTGGCTTCATGATCAAACGATTCGTAAGTACCAAATCGTATTTTGGCACCGTAATAGAACAAAAATTATTAAGAATGCTTTGTGTTTTGAAAATAAATTTAAATAGATTTTTTCATTTTTCACTTATTTGTAAATTTGCTTAAACATCTTCATGATTGAGTCCATCTTCATCTCTTTTTTGAATCAATCACATTATATTGTTCCACAGAAAAGTCAAAATTTTAGATTTTTGAATTTCAAGTAAATACTAAAAATTTAATTACAAACATCAATTGAATGGCCAAGCTACTACTACTAATAGTAATTCAAAGGAATTCACATTTAAAAATTAATATTAATTCAGCAATTATTGATTTCTCGAAAATCTGAAAAATTCATCTTTTTGTGGTTATAAATTTCTTCAAGCTTATGAAAAAATAAACGAATTTCATATAATACATAATATATTCAAAATCAACAATGAAATTTGAGTGTTTTCATTCTTAGAATATCATGGCGACAGTAAAGTTTACTTGGCAAGATGAACTTAAGCGAAGTGGTTCATTCTTCATAGGTACGAGTCCAGAATTCGACATGGCATTATATACGATATGCTTTCTCACGCGGCGATCTCGCCACACGTGCAAAGTAACAACATTTATTTATAATTATTTATCAATTTAAAAATTTTAGATTTCACATGAATAATGTTTTACTTGGTGTTATTGTAATATGCAGGATATAAATGTAAATTTTAGAAAGTAAAACTAAGAAGTAAAAGGTAAAAGTCTAATTAATATTTGGAAGTTAGCTTTTTGGCAAAAATTGGTTAATGTTGCAGTTTCCAAGAAATTAATCTAACATAATTAACCAAATTTAACTAATTGGATGAAATTATGAAAATTTAGCAAATCAAAAAAACAAAGAAGTGGTAAGTTATAATTGATTAGTCATAATTTTTATTTGCAGTTCTTCTTGGACCAGTGTCCATTTACAATTATCAGTTACGATCTGATCCAACACGGCAAAATTTTCATTGCTACTATTTATCCAACGGCTGGACCGCTTACTGACAAATGTCGAAAATATAACAGTTGAATATTCCAGCAGAAAAAAATCTTCAGTAATTTACATAGATTTTCTATTACTTTAATTACATAATTTAATCAGTAAAATTATTTGCGCCATAGCAAAAGGCACTGTTGATTCAATTTGATCAAAAAGCAAATACTTTCAAAAAGTACAAAAGTAACATTAATAATAGTCTCTAATGGTATAAAATGGAGGAGCAGTTGGTCCTCTTTCATGGCTGATTTCTAAGCATGCGATATTCACAGTAATAATAGCGAGTAGAATGGTATCTTACATACTGTTTGATTGTTAGCAGTAATAAATTTATTCTGTTCCTCTACGTAAATTCTTGTTCACACTGAAATTATTGGTGTTTTAAAAGGAAAAATTAAGCAAAGGTTTAATTTGATTATGATTCCAAAATAACTTGTTTTGCAAAACTGACCGATGCATTTGCAAATTTCAGATTGTCAGTATTATAATATTTGCGGTTTGAAATCTTCATTATTCTTCTAATTACACTTTTTCATTGATTGATTCATTGTAAAATATTTAATTCAGTAGAATAATGTTTCTGAAATCAAAATTATTATTTTATTCTTAAAGTTTTTAATTTTTACTTTATCATATGCGACCAGGCAAGTTCGCTAATAAGTACAGCGATAAAAACTGGAATTAAACAATAATGAAAATATCAATCTGAAAATATAGCACTGAGCATTTCTAAACAATTTTTACACTAATTTTTCCAAAGTTATTAATGCACAAATAAGGCTACAGTTTTTGCAGGTTATATCTCACATTTTGGATGTCTACGCTAGCATCAAACTTTAGCTTCAGCTGAGTTCAAATTTCA